TTTTATAAAAGCAATAAGCCCCATGAAGCCATGGTTTACAGTGAATTTGTAACAGCTAAGGGGGTCGTACCTAACAATGCCCCTTAGCTGTTATAAATTCACTGTAAACCATGGCTTCATGGGGCTTATTGCTTTAATTGTAGTTTTGGTTCACCACTATCAAAGTTAACGCAACTATAGAACCCCAGAAATGTGAAAAGGGTCCATAGGAATCTACATGATTGTGAATTTTATGTGAGGGTGAAAATTTAGCAAATTCCACAAGGGTTTGAAGTTGATCGTGCTGATTCATAGCATTGACCAACAGAAAGCTGCTTAGTTTAAGTGACTTCTGTGTGAGCGTTTTGCCTGCAAAATTTCACAGAAATGGCGCTAATGTGACTGCGCATTAAGAGTATAGAGCTATAAAATGAATATGAATTACATAGCCCAGATCATTTGGTTTTGGATGTATTTGATGAAAAAAACAAAAACAACTTCATAATAAAATATCTGACTTTTACGTATACAGTATTCAGTCTTTTGCTGACATACAATATAAAGCTATAAAATTAATGTGGATCATTTTTCTTATAGTCAACATCATTTGAAATGTTTGAGTTTATACTGAGATAATCACCAGACTTCAGTTTCAAACATCTAGCTTTTCACTTTTTTTTTTCTTTTCTAAAAACATAAATGATGATCAATATCCTGTCTCCCCTTACATCATTTCAGGATGTAGACATTGTTATTACAGCAGTTTGAGGTGAACAATACACAAGAAAACAAAGCACTTAGACCAAAAGTATTACAAATGTAGAGTTTAATATATATCTATGTATTTCTGACATTCTGATAAGGACTGCGGCAGGCTTCACAGTACAGACTGTGTTCTTCCACTGATATATGCTAAGCTGAGGAGGGTGATTTACAGGCAGATTTGTACATTAGTTCGGTAAGCGGGGGGTGAAGAGGGCTGTACACTGTTGGACAATGTGCACTGATCAACTTATCACCTTTGAATCACCTGTTCACACATCCCTGGTTCATCGTTGACTCCCTTTATTATCTGGTATTGTTTTAATGAACACACATGTGATTATCTAAAGGGAACGATTAAATGCATGCTCTGTCACTCCAGATTGCTGGTTTTCACAGGATGATGTAAATGGGTGATATAGTAACCTAAATGTTCAAAACAGATGACTGAGAAAAAGCTGAGAAATCTTCAGTTCAGTTTGTCACTGTTATAACTTTGTGGCTTCTTTGTATCATTAGTTCTTTTTGAACATATCATTTCATGCTGAAAATGTCAGATAAATTAAGAAATAAATTTATCAGTACAAATTATGTCCTTGTAATAGGTGCATTAGAGATGACTGTTTTATTTTACAAATCCCCATTTTGAAAAGAACATTTGTACTATAATTGCATCGTTTTCTTGGTTCAAGCAAGTAATAAGAGAAATTTTGAAATCAAATCTGTTTGACTCATCAGTAGATGGAATCTGTGCATACAACACATACTATTATGATAGTACAAGCACAATTTAAATATATTACACAATTTGTTTTAATTGTATTAATGACATTTGGGAATGATATTGTGCTTAATCATGAAAATCCTTTGATTTAATAGTTTAAACCAACACAAGCTTCTTGTTCTTTAAATAAAGTATAATTTCTTAATTGTTTCTTCTGATTTTGGGGTGAAATGTGACCTGTGCGGATTCTGTGTGGGTCAAATTATCAGTTAAAATTACGTATGCACAATTCATCAGGTTTAAAAAGTTCCATCACGGCTATTACATCTTTCGGTTTTGAACAATTTCTTGAACATACTGGGTATAACTGTTAAACGTTGTCACGTGTAAATTAAGACGTGATTCTAATGACCTTCATTTACAAATCACATATACCTGTGCCTTTTCGCCTTAGAAAAGCATGTGATAACAGATGCAGTATTGAACCAGAATGCGAATGCATGTACATACTGTCTTCATTAACAACAACATAAGCATTCATTATGAGCGCAAAACAGAGAGAGATGAGCATAAAGAAAACAAACCATGCATCTGTTGCAGCTGCTATAAGGCCTTTACTTTAGTGCACTTCCAAGTAAAGGCGAAATCACATTCAGTCAGCACACTCGAACGGACACGACTGCCTCCTCACAGAACACCGCACAGACAGAACCTCACGTACGCACGAAACTCGCCGGTAGCTTCAGGTTATAAATACTGAATGTGAGGGCACTTGCAATTATCATTGTGTAATCACTACAACTACAACTCAGTCACCAATAATCATTAGACTATATTTCATCAAGAACACACACTGAGGCATATCACAGATTTCAGCAAAAAAAAAAAAAGGCCTTTTGTCCCTGACGTACACTAATGCTTAGTCAAAGAGAGAAATACAAGCCATGGCTATCCATCGTTGGAAGTAGAGTCCTTCGTATGAGAACGGAGACGGTACGCTGTGCCCATTCCTTCCACGGGACAGAAGCGAGCTAATGTTTGTTTGACCTTAATAAAGTCCTGCGCTTTTTGTACAAGTTCAGACAAGAGAAACTGCAGCATCCAGTAGTCTCGTGGTGTTGTATACCCATGAAACAAATGTGCCATCTCAGTGTGGCATCAGATTATGTGTCTGGGGAAAAGCAAAGAGACTTTGAAGGATCTTTAGGGCCTAAAATATCTTTGAGATGATTTCGAAATGATCCCTGCCAAGTTATAAAATCTGTATTTTTCCATTGATCCTATGGCGAGATATGCTATACAGTGGCCTTAAAAAGTACGTGGACACAGTTCATGTGATGAATGGCATCAGTGAGGAAATAACCTCATGCATCCACTAAAAGCGATACCAGTTGACAAAGTAATTGGACGAAATCGCTAGAGAAGATCTAATATCATTATTTTGCAGATTCCACGCATCAAAACTGTTTTAGGGCCATTGTATTTTCATTGATATAATCTACCAGTTTTTATACAATAGTATAACTGAACCGATGTTATACGATTATTGTAATCTGTCAACTTCATATATTTTCTAATAATAGTAAGTAGCTATACAGTTGATTTATGCTGTTGATTAAGGCTGTTATTGATGAGGTCGGTTTAGGGATAAAATCTCTCTTGGGAATAACTCTACCTAAACTTCTACCACGTCTGCTGCATTCATATTTCTACATCTAGTTCATGGCTTACAAAAGTGCAAAAAACTCGCTTGCTATGTGAACCTGACAAAAAGTGTCCAGGGACAAAATAATACTTAGAACATTATTTCTATACAAGATAAATATGGCATGTCACATTTATGAATATATAATTCATATTTGCCTTTACATTTGTCCTCTCGTTGACACTTATCTACACATCTTTATATACAGTATTGGAATATACAGAAGGGATAGTGTGGCACTGCGTTTGAAGCACTTTGGAGGGCATATGAGTGCGGAAAGACAACGGAAAATGCAAGGCAGTGCATTGGAACAGAACCAGTAGTTAATCTCAGTAGTAAACATTATGAAACATTTGCAGGAAAGTGTTTGCAGTGACCCATTTTAGCACAAGCAATGTTTCTGTTTTGCAGGTAAAGGGGTGAGGGATTGAGATTTCCAGGGTTCCCACACTTTCTGACCGATGAATTTTCATGAACAGATTTCCAGGATAAGGATTTTGAAATAGAATTTTATAGAGATTGCAAACTCTCACAAAAAAAAAAGAAATACTTCAGAACAGAAACAAATATACAGACTATAGAAAATTACGTGATTTTTAGAGGGATTTTAAAATTTTCTTTGACGCTATTAAAATGCCCTTTTAGTTTCCATGACAGTGGGAACCCTGGATTTCTTACCTTGCTTCCATGTACTGCATTATATTGTATTGGCTCTTTAAGAAAATACACTTTACTGCAGCAGTTGTCACTGTGTTACTGTATTATGTACGTTTCAGGAAGTTCTGATAATGTTCTGCCACAGATAAACGCACATATCTATCAAAATGTTACAGAAATTGACACCCTGCTAAGCCCCGCCCCCTCCGTTTCTGTTGCCGACTCAGACAAACTTGACTGAATCCACCGCAGGAATGAATTGGACATTTCAGTTTACCATTCTACATGTTCAGGACACATTATTCAATTCACCTCATGCGATTCCCAACTTCTAAGATTTGGAAAAGGGGGGAAAATTTGATCTCTCTTTTGTGAGGCAATATTTACTTTTATATTTATGAATTTTGGCAGACACTTTTATCCAAAGCAACTTGTATTCAGCCCAGCAGGCACAAGACGTCAATATAACGTCAGGTTGACGTTCCGTTTTGGTTGAGAATAAAAATCAGGCTGACGTCAGTATTTGACGCCAATTTGACGTTGACTTAATGTTGGATTTTGGTTACATAACCTAAAACAACAAATATCAATATCAGCTGACGTCAGTATTGGACATCAAATTAACATTGACATTGGACGTCCAATTGACATTGAATTTTGGTCACCTGACATTGCAACCGGAATTTAACCAAATATGTGCCTGCTGGGAAGGTACACATTTACATTTTATCAGTTCTTGCTCTCCCTGGGAATTGAACCCATGACCTTGGCATTGCTAGAGCTGTGCTCTACTGTCTGAGCCATAGGCAACAAGAGTTTAATGTATTCTCTGATAGTTTTAAATGTAATTTTACAAAATTATTTAAACACACAGTCTGTCCATAGATCTACTTTAGAAATGAGCACTTGTCTGATAATATAATGGGCAGCAACAGTTGCTAAGGCCAGATTAGTCAGTAGCACTTTAAGGCGGGACTTAGTGAAAGGTCAACTGAATTGGATTGCTAAAGCAGTGATTAGTGTAGGTTAGAGAGATTGAGAAAGAAAGAAAGAAAGAAAGAAAGAAAGACCTCAGCATTGCAAAATTAGACTTAAACATGCTATATGCCACCAAGTCATCTATAAAGAGCATAGCATGGACCCTGTAGGGAAAACAAAGACGGCCTACTCTCATACCATGAGGGTGTGTCTCAGTTCAAAGCCTCCAGCAAGACAAAGTGTATGAGGTTCCTTTAAAGTCAGCAGACTGCTCCCTATGTGCATTGTATTATAATTGCAGCTCTGATAAGGCAGAAATAAAAACATCCCAATCAGACGAAACCAACAACACGACAACAAAATGAAACAGACAGAATCGTTCAGAGAGAAACAGGAATCGGAACACAAAACTCCAGGTTCCTCCAGTGGCAATTTGAACGAAATCCATTCTGTTGCTTTTTTTATGGCACCTGTTGTGTGGTTGGCGTCTTATCAAGTCTCTCATGAAGTATCCGTGACTGAGGGTTTGGCCAAGGTGGGGTTCCAGTTGGGCCTCAGCAGGAGTGGACGGGTTCTGGGCGAAGCTGGCATGCTGCTGGGTGGGCTCAGGGGTCATAGCGTGGTGCTTTGGCCCTCCTCCTCGGACACGGACTCCCCCTCCGGAGAGCTGACCGCAGCAAAGGAGCTCCGACATGGGAGCACCCTGAACTCGTCCAACAGGCTGTCCAGATTGACGTTGATGGAGGGAATTTCCAAACTGAAGAAATCTGCTATAGGATCATGCAAATGAGAGCGATGGCCACGAAAGTGAAGCGACAAGACAAGTTTACAGTACAGAGAGAAATGATGGAAATGGCGATGATGAGGATGTTGAAAACGACACAAGGAGAGAGAGCAAAAAAGCAAATTCAGTTCCCAGACCACTGTTAGAGGTGAAGTCAGCGAAGGGTGTTGAATGTGTGTTGCAGCAGGAGAGGGGCACATCAGACTGTTTCCTGGCATTCTGCACAGGGATTCTGTTACACTGAGCCATTGGGGAGGAAGGTGAAACATCTGTTTCATTTGAAATGAAACCTGTCCTGCCTCAGCGCAAAATCTCTGCTATGCTCATATAAAATATAAAGTACTACATAAAGCTTTTTGCAGTTTTTCAGAAAGTAACAACAATAGAATCAACAGTTCACCACAATCAGTGCTGGGGAATGTTACTTTAAATAGTAACGCGTTACATGCACTAGTAGCTAATTCGATGACATTGTTACCTTTTATGAAAAGTAACATGATATTTTTGTGTTATTTTGTACAGGTGTCAATTAGCCAAGGCTCTCTGTCTTCTAGAATGGTGGTTTCCTGTTTGCCTTGTAGACATTTTTAGGTAATTTTGCTGTGAAAAGTATTTGTCCCCGACATGATTTGCCCACAACAACAAATATAGCATGAAACCACATTTACGATTGTTTAAATGTCACACAAAGACTGCATAAGTGCTTTTACATCGGAATTACAATTGTTTAAAAACATTCCATGTTTGAAAAAGTACTGCAGTATAACTGTTAAAAGTAACACGTTACTTTCATTGATACTCGACAAGAAATATGTGCGCATAACATTATGTTACTTGTAACGCGTTACCCCCAACACTGACCACAATGAACAAAATACTCCACACATAGACAACAAGATGGGTGCAAATTGAAAATGTGGTAACATTAAGAAACTTGTCAGTGGACTACGTGGATTGGTGGACTGTATCTGATTGTGATGACCTCCCCTGTGTAAGAATGAGATGGACGAGAGATGGTGTAGTCACGACTGTGGGGGGCGGAGAGTTGTACTGTCGTCCTGCGATGGACTCGACTCAAAGAGAGTTTGGTTGGGGTTTACCTGGGTACCTATGTGGTGGTGGGGATATTGGGTGGGGGAATGGATCACGATGTGAGGTCAGGGCCGGAGGTGTTGAGATGGACTTCATAAGCGACGACGTTGGCAAATGTGTGATGTTGCTCGGAAAAGTAAGGCCGTAAGCCATGCATAGACCAGTCTCACACCATGCACAGACTACACTGACAGAATGAAGAAGCCAAGGACAGCCCCGCGACTGGGAGAGAATAACAAAGCCGCAGAAGGAAGTGTTACGGTATGAGACAGAGAGCAAGGTTGCGGTAGAGGCCCCAGATTCAGCCACAGCACCAGGCCAGACGGTGTGAGATGAGGCTATGGCACGGGCACAGCAGGTTCTGGCTTACCCTAAATGTCCCCCTCACACTCAGCCCACACTCAGTCCCTGGCCTCACACAGCTGCAAGGTGCACAACGATGACAGGGGATAAAAGAGTCATACATCAATCAGTGCTCAGGAGAATGACTGACAGACATGCCTCACATGAGAGAACATACAATCAGTGCCATACAGCGGGCCACTAGAATGATACAAAGACCACAGAACCTTACTTTAGAGAAACAGTCTCACACTAAAGCTGAGAAAATAACTATAGGGCTCATCCTGAACTTCAAAGGTGAAGTGTGTAATTCTTTGCATGTTAAAATGCTTCTTTCCAGGTCAGTCTCATGTAGCCAGACTTTTGACTTGCGGCATAAAGTCTGGTCAACATAGCAGTCGGTAACGTGACCACCTGAAGTTCAATTTGTTTGTATTTTGTTGTTTAGAGGCAACTTTATGAGAAAACTTAGTGGTAAATATGACTGCACCTTCAGTCCTGAGAGTTAAATTTAAAGTTAGCAAATCAATTGGATTTGGTGATTTTTGGCAAGCGCTTGCCAAATTTTTCAGTGTGAAAAATTTGAATCTCTTACGAAATCTGTGTGGGAAAATCTTTCAACCTCATGTGTAATTCCTGAAATGTGAATACACATGTACTCCTGAAAGTTGAAACCAAAGCTACCCATAAATTTGAAGTTGACGATTTTCAGCAAGTGCTTGACAATTTTTTTCCCATGTGACCAATTTAAACCCTTTGCGAAATCTGCATCTGGATATCTCTAGCCTGGATATTCCTGATCGCATGGATTCCTATTGAAACGACTGGACCCGTGAAAATTCGCTGAACAATGGTAAATGTGACTGCACCTGTACCCCTAAAAGTTGAAAGTAAAGCTAATCAATCAACTTGGAGTTGATTTTCAGCAAGTTCCTGACAATTCTTTCCATGCAACCAATTTGAATTTCCTATGAAATTTGTGCTTGGGAGAAACAGTTCACACTCACGTGTGATTCCTGATCACTTGGATTCTTGTTGAAATTACTGGATTTCACCTCTAAAAATTCGCTAAACCATGGTAAATATGACCGCACCTTCAATACCTGAAAGTTGAATGTAAAGCTAGTTGAAGATTTAATTGGTGTACTTGCCAATTTATACTCTTTTTTTTTTTTTTTACACCCCAAAGAATGTAAACTCAGTGGCACTTTTAAAACACTGCTTGCTTTGTTTGAGTGGTCCGACACGTCCAACAACTTCTGGCTCAAGCATTGGCATGAAATTTGTGCAAGACTACCTGTCTGTGGTGGAGCAGAGTCTGTGGAAACTCTGTATGGAAAGTCGTTATTTGTACAATTCCACTGGTGGTGCAAGAATTGCACACTTCACTTTGTAGTAAAATATATACAGTATGTCCTTGAGCTTAAAGTGAATTCCCTTTGTTTCCATGTTTTCTTAAGTACCCCTAAAAGTTGAAAGTAAAGCTAAACAATCAACTTGGAGTTGATTTTCAGCAAGTTCCTGACAATTCTTTCCATGCAACCAATTTGAATTTCCTATGAAATTTGTGCTTGGGAGAAACAGTTCACACTCACGTGTGATTCCTGATCACTTGGATTCTTGTTGAAATTACTGGATTTCACCTCTAAAAATTCGCTAAACCATGGTAAATATGACCGCACCTTCAATACCTGAAAGTTGAATGTATTTAAGCATGAATGTACTTAATGATACATTTTTCAGAAATCAAGACTCAATATCTTAAATAATTTTCCTTAATGTAAACAATACACAGTTTTGTTCAAATATTCTTGCTCTAAGAAATACGATCTTTCCAAACTAACAAGGTTTTATTTTCAAGAACTGCATTATTTTAGTCTTTTTCCTCATTATATCAAGAGTTATATCATTCTGATCTTTTAATTTATGTCCCCTAAAACATATCGAATGAATTTTAATTCAGAAATTAAGCTGTAGTCAAGTCACTGTACCTATATTTCTTTTCAAATGCAGCTGCATACCAACATAACACTAATCACTGTAGCAAAACATGCATTTTACAAAAGACTTCACAGTACAATACAGAGCAAATATTGATGTAGTTAGTGATGTATGTCATCACAAAATAACCTTGACCGAATCAGAAACGTGTTATTACCAGATGCATACAGTGATCTGATCGCCCAAGGCTGACATTATACCAGATTTAAAGAGGATTTTATCTGTAGAAAGAATTAAAGTGGAATCCCAGTGGGACGAACCTTTGTGTAAGGTGTGGGGGCTGTGCTCGGCAGAGTGGGGAGACTGGCTGTTGCTCTGCTGACCGCTGACAGGGGGCACTGTTGCTCCTGACGCCTGCACAGCCTTGTGGCCAATCACAGGAGAGAGCTCCTTGCTCTTCAGAGTGCTGGAGAGAGAGACAAACATGACTGCCTGCCATCAATCTGCACCCACTCTATCATTAATGACTAACAGCGTGCAAGGACCCCTCACGCCCCCGTCATCGAAACTAAAAACAGCGACTTAAGTGGTAAATAACATCCTGCTGGTTTGGATCGTGTCTGAATGCACCTTGACATAACATTATTGACATAACTGACGTGGGACTCGAACCCATGGCCATTGTGTTGCTGGCGTCATGCTTTACCAGATGAGCTACAAGAAGGTAAACAAAATGGTGACAAAATAGATGTTACATTTTCGTTGTTGCTTGAACATCCACAACTAGAATCTGCTTTCATGTGGGTGTGATGTGATTTTTTTCCAAAGACATGTGAAGGTGGTTTTACACCGAGTGTTTCTCATGCACGTCAGCAGGAGGGGGATTGAGTGTCCTTGCCCAGCAAACACACACACACACACACACAGTATGTATCTTTAATATAACTGAGCATGTGGAGCCTGTTTTTCACTCTGACAGCTCTATTCAGGCGCCTCTCTGCTAAACTCTGGGGAAGATAAATCTATGTGCACACATGGACACATGAGTCCTCTACATCTATATCCGTGCAGACATGCAGAGAATGATGCTGCAATATCTGCATCTATGTGACTACATTTGGTACGACTCTGCCACATCTATGACTCAATCTCTGCAGTTCCCTGCAATGTTTGAATGAAGGCTCATGAGGGTAGATGGGGAGGGGAACCTGTGCCATTGCAATACACAGTCAACACCATTAGTAAAATGGCTAATATTAGCTCTACTGATGCTAAGCTCTCTAATAAAGATCTTGGATAGATCTTTATTGCACTGATGGTGTCAAGCGATGGGAATTCATGTAATTCCACTGACATTCCTGCAACCTTTCAAACAACCCGGGAGATTGGTGGTCTAAAAAAAGAGCATTCGTATACACAATTCCCACCTCAATTAAATTTATGGCCTACATTGCTGTTTGCAATTTGATTTTGGTAATTGTTTCAGCCTTATGACGATTTACCAGTGCATTTGGCTTTAGAGTTCTCAAATTCAGATGGCTATTAAGTAGGGAACACTTTAATCTTAGTGAAATGATTACATTTTATGTGGACCTGCTGTGTTTCAAAATCTAGTGAGCTGCCTTGTTGTCCTTCTTGTCAGCAGCTACCGAATTGTAACTGAAATGAATATCGTAAATGAGCACCAGCTCTGTAAACCAATGAATTAGAGTTTGTGCTTTTTAGTCAAAAACTTTGCTGAACTATGGTAAATGTGACCATACCTTTAGCTTTGTATATGTTGGTGTACTCCTTAAAGGCTAGCAAAACAAACTTTGAGTAGATATACATTTAAAATGTAGTTTTTGTCTTCAGGGAAAACGAAGTCAGAGACTAAATATAGTGACCTGCACTATCCAAATGTTTGTCCAATTAACTGCTCTCTAGAACAAGAATGTATTTCCTTTTAAAACCATCTATTTCTGATTAGCAAGAGGGAGTAGCTTATCATGGTTCACAGCTAAAGCCCAAAGTATAATATGATGCAAATCCTTAGCGTATGCGCAATGGCAAATGCGTAGCCTCTCAAAGTATACTCCATTTCTTACTGTGCGCAAACACATGCACACTAGAAGGTTTTGCACAGAAACTGAAGTATACATTGGGCTTTAGATGAAGATAGAAAAGCTAAAGCATTTTGGCTACTAACAACAAGTCCCGATGTCCCGTCCCAACTTCCTGGTTTAAACACTTGCAAACTATTTCATGGGGTTTTAAACAATCCCTTACGTAAATTAACCATAGGTTTATTATGGTAAAATTTTAGTAACCATGTTTTTGTCTTTTTTTGGGTGTATTATTGATTACCATTTGTATAACCACAGTTTTACTACAAATACCATGGTTAAACTGTGATAGTGTATAGCAAAACCATGGCTAATTTGTGGTTACCATGATTTAACTATAGAAACCTTGTTTTTTTTGTAGTAAAACCACTGTTAAATTTCATAAGGGATCACTGACATACATTGCCATACAAACACTCCTCAAGCAAAGTGCACAAGAGACTCAACATTCACAGTTCCTCTAATAGAGTGCTGCACGGATAACACATTTTTGCAGGTCATAAAACAGTTCCTATATAGGTTAGTGTATGTTTAAGCTTTTTTACTTCTGACGATAGTAGTGAAGATTATCCCGTAGTAGATAGTAGTGAAGATTATCCTGTAAGAATCATAAGAATCTTTTGTTGATCACAGAGCTAATTTTCTGCAATAAACCAAAAGCCAATGAAAAAACCCTTTCGGGGTTTTGTTGAGGGAACCAGGGTGATGCTAACTTACAAGTTGGCCTACAAAAACATGTCATCACTGCAGCGCTCTATATTGTCAGACATTGTCAGAATGGATGCATTTTAATTAGATGGAATTTCTAAGCAAAGAGTAAATGTAAAGTGGCAATCAGATTATATCATTGCAATTGATTTTGGGAAGTCCTTAATTTTATTTTTCCAAAGCTATCTCATAAGGCCAGAATAAATCTGTTTCCTATTGTTTGGAGGAGTCTTTGTGTTGGGAGAGCGCCTATGATGACTAAAATAGATGCCTAGGTGGGCAGCTCATTAGGTTTTGGAACAGAGCTGGTGTTAATATTCATGCACATCAAACACAACTCTTGACTCAATTTCACAATCAATACATTCATAAGCATAATACATTCATGTCACCATATGCAGCTCCATCAATGTATTTATTTCTACCAGGGTTAAAACTAAAACTGAAACTAAAACCATAAAAAAAAATCATTCATTGAAACAAAATAAATGTTAACGGAAATAAAATATTAAAAAAAAAAAAAGATTTTTTATTTATTTCAGCTAGCTGCCAAAGCAACATTTTAATTCAGTTCAACTTGATGTACTAAAAGAGCTATAACTGAAATAAAAATACATACACATTAACTAAAAGCACAAGAAAATTACAAAACTGAATTTTAACTGAAATTAAAATAAAAGCAGAAAATAAGAACTGATTCAAAATATTAATAAAAGCTATCAATGACAGCACTGATTTCTAGGTGAAGGATCCACTTTCACTAAACGCCAGTAACATCCTCAGTTGCTAGGCAACCTCAGGCTTCCCTGGACAATGAGAATGTTACGGAATCTGCGTGATGGGACTGAAAAAGCAATAACATTACAAAGCAAGTTCCAAAAACAAGATGGAAAAGTACAAGGACAAGGAAGGGTACGGAGGGGGTGGCCGCTCCTCCGCGTGGGACGAATAGACATGTGAGGAATCCGGCCGATTGGGCAACACGTCGTCTGAGCTGCAGATATTGAAAACAATAAAGAGCAAACACAGGAGAGAGAGCTCTGGTCAACTGCACACGCATGACAGCGCAACAGGAAAGTGGATGTTTAGCTCCAGCTGTGGCTCGCTAGCGTTATACAATATTGATAATACTCTCAGGATCCTTTGGTCTGCATGTGTGTCTCAAGCTGGTATGAGCATTTAGCCAGTTTAGTGCGCGGCAATGAGCAACAGGTTTAGCAAACAGCAAGCTTAGCAATGAAAAAACAGGCGCCATCTGACTCCACTGGGAGGAAAAGCACAGTGATGCATTGAAATTAAAAGGAAAACAGAAAATTACACTGAAAATGACCTTGTGTCTGCGCACTGCACCAAGGCAAGAAAAAAAAATCTCTTCGAACAACCAAACGTCAGAGAAAGTTTGGTGAATAGCGCTGAAACCAAGGTCTCTAAGGTCTCTAAATATGGTGAAAACCCAGAGCAGTTAAACACAGACACAAAAACCCTTTCATGGCCTGAAAGAGTGTCGGGGGGGGAGGTAAGCCAGTCAAATCATCAGCCATTGCAAACCCTAAACACAGTGACTGAACCATGGCGTGACCTTCACTTCATTAATGTATGTTTTGCATATGGGCTTATGGGTTTATTATTAGTGAAATTGAATGAATAGGAAGCCACAGCAAGAATGTCTTACATTTCATGGGACCAATCCTACCAAACTGTGATGGTTTAACTACACTAAATGATCATATAGGCCTGTACACACTGCAAAAATGACAACTGCGTTCAAATCCAGAAGTGAATCCTCTAAATTATCGTTTTGGGTGTGAAATGAGAAACATACTGTACGCGCTCTGTGATTTTTTATGGCGCTTAAAAGGATAGTTAGAAGTCATAATTTACTCACCCTCATATGTGACCCTGGACCACAAAACCAGTCATAAGGGTCAATTTTGTGGGTCAATTTGATGTATGGTTTGTTAGGATGGGACAATATTTAGCCGAGATACAACTATTTGAATATCTGGAATCGGAGTGTGCAAAAAAATCTAAATATTGAGAAAATAGCCTTTAAAGTTGTCCAAATGAAGTTCTTAGCAATGCATATTACTCATCAAAAATTAAGTTTTGGTATATTTACGGTAGGAAATTTACAAAATATCTTCATGGAACATGATCTTTACTTAAAGGGGTGGTTGATTGCGATTTCACTTTTTTAATGTTAGTTAGTGTGTAATGTTGCTGTTTGATCATAAACAATATCTGCAAAGTTACGAAGCTGAAAGTTCAATGCAAACGGAGAATGTATTTTTGGCTATTGCTACAAATATACCCCAGCGAGACTGGTTTTGTGCTCCAGGGTCACATATGTTTGAAAATGATTAACAGTTGAAAACAGTAGTAAGAAATTCAGAAAGGTAATCAAAAAGTAACCAGTTTCACTGCTTTAATAAAGTAATTGAAATAGTTACACTACTTATTACATTTTAAATAGGGTAATCTGTAATTAGGTTAATCCAAAGTAACCTTCGCAACACTGCTAATATGCTGCTCATTTCTTATAACCATCAATGTTTTCAGCAGTGAAAATTAATATTTTTGTGGAAACTATGATATATATTTTTTCAAGATTCTTTGATCAAAGTTCAAAAGAACAGAAATGAAAAAGTTTTACTAACCCCAAGCATTCAAACGGTAGTGTACCTCTTTCCCTGAGATCTTCTTGCCTCGCATCAGAAGAAGAGAGACTCGCATGGGCTTTTAATTACATTACAAGAACTAGTTACTGAGTTTGGTTTGGTTTAATGTATATGCGGTTAATTTGGTTGCAGAATGCGGATGTCACACAACATAAGTCTGTGTGTACAATACAGGATGAAGAACTCAAAAGAGGACTGACAATCGTATTTAGCTGCAGTGTGTACATGGCCGTACTGACTGCACTACTGTATTTGTATAAATAATTCTATTTATACATAAAGACAAAAAATACAACATTAGGTAGAACAAGGAAAGCATGAAAGAGCAGAGGAAATGATGTCATTAATACACAAATGCAGGGAAAGCAAGAGTTAATTGCTGAATGGAAAACAATGAGGTCTCAAGTTAGTTGATGCAACAAGTTCTACTGTGAAATGTGTATACAGTACATTGAAATGACAATGGAAAACATGTAGAGGATGATGGGAATCGTGTGTGTTTTTTTTTACCTGCCCCTGTCTCCAGGAGGGGGAGTGGGGATTGGAGATGTGGCCAGCTCACCGGGCTGCTCAGTGATCAGGGTGTCCGCAGGAGAGCCGGGCGGTTGTGCGCTGGGAGGCGTGGATGAGGCTTTGCGGCCCAGTGTAGAGGAACTTTTGCCCTTCACCCACGATGTGTCCATGACTCTGACACCCACACTGCCCACATAAAGACCCACAAACCATCAATCACAACCACTGCAGAAAACACAACTAGATGTACTTTACAGAAACGTTAACCCTCTGATGCATGATGCCAACTAGCCACCTTGAGTGATTATCTTCAACCATTACCCATAATTCTATATGACTGTGCTCTACATCTTAAGTGTTTTTTTTTTTTTTCCAATTTCAAAAAGACTAACAAAGTGGTGAAGGTCATTATTTTGTTAGAGGCCAGGTGTGTAACTCTCTAAATTATGATTATATTATTATAAAACATTTTTTTTTTCTTTATAAAAAGAAAATGTTTTTGTCATTTAATAATTCATGTGTCAGAGAGTTAAAAACACTTTATAGTAACTTGCATCATTACAATCAACATCAATTATTGTAATTGTTACAAGATATAATTAGACAATAGAATATGATTTTGATTCAAATTTTGAATAATACACATCACTGTTCAAAAGTTTAGGGTTGGTAAGTGTTGTTCTTTTTTATGTTTATGAAAGAAGTGTCTTATGTTCACCAAGACTGCATTATTTGATCAAAAATAAAGTACAAACAGTAATTTTGTGAAACATTTCTAGAATTTAAAGTAACTGTTTTCTATTTTAAAGTTTTCAAATGTAATTTATTCCTGTGATGCAAAGCTGAATTTTCAGCATCATTACTCCAGTCTTCAGTGTCAATATGCTGATTTGATGCTCAAAAAACATTTCTGATTATTATCAATGTTGAAAAGAGTCAAGCTGCTTAATATTTCTGTAATATTATTTTTGTAATATTAAAATATATAATTTTTTGTAATATTACAGTATTTATTCGAAATGGAAATCTTTTGTACAATTATAAATGTTTTTTAATGTCACTTTTGATCTATTTAATGTATTCTTGCTTAATAAATCTAATAAATAAACAAACAAATAACCTGACCACAACCCGAAAAAAACTTTTGAACGGTAGTGTTTTTATATTTGAACATACATGCATGACTGTCTTGTTAAGCAATACAGAAATTAAATGATTGTTAATTAGGTTATTAAAGTGTTACCAAAAACAAAGCCACAGTATAACAGAAAAGGTGAACGGTACCTTTGAATTTTCCTAATGCTGCATTAAGTGTGGATAAAATAATGAGTTTAGAGACAACACAGTGAGTTTACATTTAACAGTAATGTCTGTAGAGTAAGCAAAAGTAAATGACATGGGGACAGGGGAGGACAGCTAAATGAGAACTGTGTGGCGAGAGCATGCAGTGTTTGGAAGATCAGGGCCATCCAGAGGTGAGAAAGTGTCAGCCTAAATGAGCAGCTGGCTCTCTTGCCTGCTGCGACAACATTAAGCCTCATTTACTCTAATTGCTTTTACCCCGAGAGCTGTGGACATAAACAATCAGACACTTAGCCTCCCCTTTAACAAAATACATCAGTCCTAAAATACAGTGGATCAGAGTCTCTAATTGTTCTGTAATCTATAAAACTTGTCAGTGCGTTTGAAATGACAGCAGACATCAGGAGCATTTTAACATGAGGAAATGTGAGGGAAACACAGCAATGGCTAGTTGTCATGGAAATATTCATATCGGATTAAGTATGAATGCTTAAAAGCTAAAGCTTCAAGAAAAAAGTTAGTAACTCCAGAAAATGTCATAAAAGTTTTGTTAAAAATTATGTTAAAAAAGTTTTAAAATGCATCATTTTGTAAAAGATGCATGTTTTCGTCACGGGATAAAAAAAAATGTAAAAGGTGAAAAACATCGAATTGCAAGAAAGTAACTAAGAATTTTGACTTTTTTATTGCAATTGCGAGTTTACGCAGAGACGATCCTCCCTATATGATTTAATTTTATGATTTAATTTTAGTTTCGTTTTTTAATTTGGCCAGCGGTTATGAAACATGAATGATCATTTCTTTTAATGCAGTGCGCTGTCGCCCTTTCTACGTAAAAATCTGTCAAATCATGTAATGTGAATGTCGTACAGTCTTACTTGAGACAAAAAAAAACGAGTTGTAAGCGTACCGAGCCATGGAAGACTGGAAGACATGGACTGTTTCTCAAGAACTTTCCGCGAGCGCGGAAATCGCTTGATACCCCACTGCGTAGGGCCCCCAGAAGTCTAGGATCGGCACTGAGCATACATCTCAACTCTAAGTTTATATCTCACACTTCTCATGTTTTTTTCTGAATTCTGACTTTACATCTCACAATTGTGTTTTTTGTTTACGCCACAGAATAAAACAAAAAAAGTCAATTGCGACTTTTAAATCTTAACAATTCAGGCTTTTTTTAAAAAATAATTGTGAGTTTATATCTCACAATTCTGACTTTTATTTTTTTGCAAAATTCTGATTTTAAATCTCATGGTTCTGACTTTTTTCCCTCAGAATTTTGAGTTACCATCTTGCAATTCTTTTTTTTTTGCCATGGAATTAAACATAAAAAAAAAATTTTTAAAAAACGTACATTCAGTTTACATCTCGCAGTTTATATCTTACAATTCTGACTATATATCTCATAACTTTGACTTTATATTTCACAATTCTAACTTCATATCTCAAAATTCTCTGACACAATTCTGAGAACAAAAGACAGAATTGTGAGACATAAACTCAGAATCGCAGGGAAAAAAAATTTAAAATGTGATAAAAAACCGCATTTACATTTTTTTAACCCCGTGGTGGAAACAAGCTTCTATAATTTTCTGACTTTGACTTTTCTCTACAATGTAGCCAAAGCAAAATAAACCTCCCAAATAGTGTACACTGAAAAAAAATTGTAATACTTAAGTGTTTTTTTATCAAAAATATTATCAAAAAATATTACTTAATATCACTGATATTACTTAATATCTCTAAATCAACCTAAATACATGAATACATCATATTTTAGCACTTAGATTAGGTAGACATATAGGCATAAATTGCAGGTCACCATTTTTTTTTTACAGAGTAGGGGAGTGAAATTAACAACGTCTAAAAGTAGTGTGGACATGTTCCCTCCAGTTATAATGGCTGCTATTCTCCTTTCATTAATCATTTCATTACAGCACTTGCAAATATGATTCCACACAGCCTTGTATTTAATATGTGGTAATTTATCAGCATTGTTTGCCAAATATTTGCCAGAACGCAATATTTGTCGTAAGCTAGTCTGGAGTGGGACTCTATCGAACAGAAGTCTGGATCTCCTCCTCCGTATGCGCTATTTTTCCACTTGCTGGAGCATTGCAGGTGTCATGAGTCAGAGCCTGGCACATCTGCCACGTGTCTCTGTCGATAGCGGCAGAAATCCAGCCCCCTCAGTGAAAGATAAGCGAGCCGCGGCCCTCCTTCAATACGCCATCCACGTTACCATAGAGACCGTGGCAGCCCATCAGCCCGAGACCAGTTCTATTCAAATTAGGGCAGATTGTGGGAGTCGCTGAGATGTTCCCGGAGCTCAACAATTGAGAACAAATGAAACTGAAAGGTTACTGGATAACGATGTGACTGATGTCCCGGTCTAAGTGAATTAGTCGCTGAACACATTAGCTATCCGCCGCTGCTAATTGGTTTAAGCGGCACTATCGAACCCTGTCAGTAATAGGCTGTTACTGCAATGATGTTTAATTTAAAAGGATAGTTCACAGGAACGTCTGTTGTCATTTTCTCATGTTGATCCAAACCCATGTGACTTTCTTTCTTCTATGGAACATTAAAGATTAATATACTGCCCTAGAGAAAAATAAATATTTGAAATATATTTATTTCAAGCTAAGTATACTACAAATACATCTACAGTAAATGGTCCACTCATGAGCGAGTCTTCTGAAGTAATAAGACACTTGTGGTCACCCTCATTATTTTGAAAAGTAAAATAAAAATCACTGGATGATCTTGGGGGGAAAATTTAATTGTGTTTTTCTAAATAAATTTGCAATTTAAAAGTTTTTTTTTTTTAAAGCTTCAGATTTGTTGTGCTTGTTTAAAGGGGTTGCACAATTTGGCCAAAACTGTTGTGATTACATATCAGTATGACAAAAAAAAAGAATCATTACACACACACAAACACACTACATACACAGTACATATGAAAATATTACTACTACTACTACTAAAAAATATTATTATATTGGTATTTTTATTAAATAAAAGTATTAAAAATATAAACATTACTATTGTAATATTTTACTGTAAAATAAAAAATTAATTAATTAAGTATTTAAGTAAAATAATATAAAAGTAATTAACATTTACAGTACTCTTGTTTAATTGCAAAACTAACATTTATGGCTGTCTTAATTTTTCAAACGTTAAACCATCAACATTTTATTTCAGCAAAAAAAGCCTCGTCAAAAAGCATCTCTTTTATTGACAAAAATATGACGCATGTCGTGTTCCCAAATGCACATTTTAAGCGACTCAAACTAAGAGCAGATGCATTTACGGTGATCCAAGCTGCTTTGAGAAACTGAAAACACTGGATCGTGAGCTGCTCATGTGTAAATAAACACAGTGCTGTGCTTCACTCTGAAACCCACAGCACATATATCTATTTAATTCATTTGCAGCCTTTTTGATTTGATATTCACACTAAGCCATATTGCGAGCATTGCCAGGATATTCTTCAAAAATGTACCTTTTGTTTCATGGAAAAAAGAAAGTCGTACAGGTTTGGAACGAATGAGTAAATGATGACATTTTTGGGTGAACTGTCCCTTTAAGATTAGAGATGGTATGAGAAGCTAAAGGAAGAGTGTGGGAGGGAAAAGGAAAAGAGGAGAGATGGAGGAGGCAGACAGAGCCAAGAGTACAGAACAACCTACCCATCCTTCTTGTAGAATTCCAGCATCATGTTGTCAGTAGCAACACTGAGTGGGCGTCGGCTCTGGTCATGCTGCAGCTTGCGCTCTGATTGGTCCATATCGGGCGAAGGCATGGAGCTGTAGTTGTAGTTGTGGTTGGTGTGGACCGGGCTACCGTAGCTGCCTGTCAGGTTGAACTCAATATCTAAGAATAGCAAAGACAAATCAGTCCAAATCTCGCAGGAGAACACGCTCGTGTGTATGTGCGAATATGTTTTCACGACTCTTTTTATCGAACCTCCAGGGAAGAACCAGTCAGCGTGCTGGATGATCGGCTCAATGATGCCGACGATTTGCAGGGACATGGTGGTCATCATTTCCGTCATGTTCCTGTGAAGATCAATGACCCATTTGACCTACACATTACAAATGTCAAAATATACAACTACTAGATACATTCAAGGAGTAGTATACCTAAAATTGTAATTCACTTATGTCCATCCAAAACTGAATGACTCTTTCTTTTGTGGAACACAAAAGGTTACATTTTTAACAATCCTCATGTAGTTCTTCTCCATAAAACAATATTTTCACAGTGACCACATCTGTAGAGCTCCAAAAACATTAAATGTGACCCTGGACCACAAAACCAGTCATAAGGGTCAATTTTTTTTAATTGAGATGTATACATCATCTGAAAGCTGAATAAATAAGCTTTCCATTGATGTATGGTTTGTTATGATAGGACAATATTTGGTCGAGATACAACTATTTGAAAATCTGGAATCTGAGGGTGCAAAAAAAATCAAAATACAGAGAAAATCGCCTTTAAAGTTGTCCAAATGAAGTTCTTAGCAATGCATATTACTAATCAAAATTTATGTTTTGATATATTTACAGAAGAACATTTACAAAATATCTTCATGGAACATGATATTTACTTAATATCCTAATGATTTTTTGGCATAAAAGAAAAATCAATAATTCTGACCCATACAATGTATTTTTAGCTGGTTTTGTGATCCAGGGTCACAAATATCAGTCAGTTTTACACAGAAAACCTTAGCATGACTTCAAATGACTTGAATATAGTGCAAAGTCTGTATGGACTTTTTATAGTGTGTTTTTATCATTCTTAAAGCTTGACAGACAAGGTCACTATGAACTGTTGTAGTATGGATTCTTCAAAAATGCTTATTTTTGTATCATTTATATATTATTATAGTAGTCATTATTATCTTGAATTAGCTTTTATTTGTACATTTTTAAATTTAATTTAGCTTAAATAATTGTATGTGCTTCGCAAATTTTTCTTTTTCTTGGTCAATATTTGTATATTACGATTTACTTTATTTTTTGTTTCTGTTTTAGCAATTTTAGCACTTCTTGAACTTCTATTTTTATCATATTCTAAATTGTGTATCTAATATTTATATCTTATTGTACTTTTATTTCAAGAAAATTATTTTTATTAGTTTTAGTTTACAGTAACAACACTGTGCTCCACAGAAGAAAATAAGTCATATGTACAGTACGTAATAACAGAATTTAAATTTTTTCAGTGAACTGTCCCTTTAAATTGCTTTGTGGATTTGCTGCTCTCCACATAAATGTAAGAAATAATCCAAATGGAAGACATGCACTCACCCTTCTGAATGTGTCCACAGCAGGTTGGGTCCAAGAACTATTGCAATATTACCTGGCGTCATTTTATTAGCGTCTTGATGCTCCGTGAGTTTGGCTAAGAACTTAACTAAATATCTGTTTTGAAAAATAAAAATAAAAAATTTTAATCTCAGTTTGACCAAAGGGTTTAGCCCTGCCCTGGCATTCACTCTTACATTTGCTATTCCTGTCGCTGTATATTATCAATATTTCAGTAGGTTTGACAGAAGGCAGGTGCAGTCAAACATCCAAGACCCACAGCATATATCTGGAAACCTTGGCTAGAAGTAAAGACGTGCCAAATGCATAATCCATATGAACAGGCATCCTTATTTTCTTAAACGGAAGCTTTGTTTGAACTTAATCCTGGATTAATGATGTATTATTTATTGTGTGGCTCTTAGTCTTTGGCCAAATCAGTCAAGGCGAAACGAAAGGCTGAATTTGTCTTTGCCAGAGACAGCGTCTGTATATTTGGCACACTAAACAGGTTGGACTGAAGGACATTTCCGAACTCAAAAATATTCTCTGTAGGACTAATGAACTCTGATTATTTCAGAAACATGCCCACTTCCTGTCAGTGAAGGAACTGCTGCTTCGCTCATGATATAACAGAGATTTGACACTCCTCTCTTCTAATGAGCTCTTGCATTCATGACTCATTCAAAGACAAAAGCCTCGAGAGAAATAACAAACAATAAGTAAATAACAAGCGCCACACACCTGAAGTTGTTCAGATTATCTGCTGGTAGTTTCTCACATGTACACAAAAGGTCTTGGAGTCTTTTATCCATATCTTGAATACTAGAGAAAAGACACAGGGAGAGATGCATTAGGTACAGTATACAGAATATGAATAAACTCTTTTTTTTCTCCACAGTGCTATTAACAAACGCAGAAAAAGATAAGCATTCGTCTGTATATTTGGCACACTAAACAGGTTGGACTGAAGGACATTTCCGAACTCAAAAATATTCTCTGTAGGACTAATGAACTCTGATTATTTCAGTAACATGCCCACTTCCTGTCAGTGAAGGAACTGCTGCTTCGCTCATGATATGACAGAGATTTGACACTCCTCTCTTCTAATGAGCTCTTGCATTCATGACTCATTCAAAGACAAAAGCCTCGAGAGAAATAACAAACAATAAGTAAATAACAAGCGCCACACACCTGAAGTTGTTCAGATTATCTGCTGGTAGTTTCTCACATGTACACAAAAGGTCTTGGAGTCTTTTATCCATATCTTGAATACTAGAGAAAAGACACAGGGAGAGATGCATTAGGTACAGTATACAGAATATGAATAAACTCTTTTTTTTCTCCACAGTGCTATTAACAAACGCAGAAAAAGATAAGCATTTGCCTGATTTTACTGACAAATCTTCCACTGTAAATTTAGTGTTAAGTTCACTTACATAAAATTCAGTATAAAAATCTATTACACTAGTAGTTTACTGAGAGAAAGTGAGTTACTTCTAATACATTGACATTAGTATATTTACTTCATAAAGCATACTTGGAAAATATACTTGAACTTTATTTATCTTCTTTTGTAAGAGTTTTAGAATTGACGACTCATATTTGCCTTTATGAAAATTAACCATGGTTTTACTACAAAAAAAACAAAAAAACATGGTTACTAAAAAGCATAGTTAAACCATGGTAACCACAAATTAACCATGGTTTTGCTACATAGTTTAACCATGGTAGTTGTAGTAAAACGTCTCAGGTTACTTATGTAACCATGGTTCCCTGAGTAGGGAACGAGACACTGCGTCCTCTAGGGGTCGCTATGGGGGAACGCCTCGTCGTGACCCGTGTCTGAAGCATACATTGAAAAAACACCAACTCGTTGGCCGGCGACAGCCATGACGTCACTACCGGTGCGACTATAGTATAAATAAGCGCCGGGAGCACCCCTAGAGGACGCAGTTCGAAGTTCCCATGAAAGGGAACTGTGGTTGAACAAAAGGTAACTAATATACCAAAAAGGCATGGTTACTAAACCTTTAATATAATAAAACCATGGTTAATTTTCGTAAAGGTGATTCCAACTGAGTTTAGCATTAGCGCATGTTGCTAAGCTAACATAATACTCTAATAAGCATACAAACAAACAAACAAACACAAATATTAGGATAAGATATTGTAATTCAATTATCTGTAAAGCATACGTGATATTGTAAGAAGGTATCTCAGAAAGCAGCATACTGTTAATTTTCAGTGTCTTAAATGCTATCCACCTTATTTTTCCCGTAAGTGCGGGCGCGGCCATTTGTAAATTGAATGTGTCTGGCTTCCGGTGTCATTCACTTCCAGCTATTTTTAGCTGTACAAAACAGTTTGTTTTGCTGCTTGATATTGCAAACTGTTGTTTCTTACCATGTTATTTTAATTTATTATCTTAATTATGAACACACTGGTTTGTAGTGAAAACAGTTTTACCGTTTACTGCACTTTTGTTATTCTTTTTGTTATTTCCCTACAGAGACTAATGAACCAAAAGTCTCACACATTCACAGAAAACAGCTTCCTTCCACGTTGAAAAATAAGGTGGATAGGTAGACGGCTCACTACACAGAGAGCACATGTAAATCTCCAAGATTTCAGTTACAGAGGGCTTCATCTGCAAAACATCTGTTGTGTACAAACAGCTGATATACATCTTTAAAAAAGCAGTTTTACATATATTCTAAGTCATAAACATCTTTTCTAGATGTCTACAGCTGGTCATAGCTGGTTTAGCAGGCTACACTGTAAAAAAAAAATTGGTGACATTTACGGTAAAATACCGGCAGCTGTGGTTGCCAGAACTTCACCGTAAAAAATATGGTAGCAACATTTTAGGTTTTACAGACTTAACTTAAATTCACAATAAAATACCGTATTTCATTAACTGATGTTAATAAACCAACATATTGAAGGGTTAATATCTGTTTTGTGCCATTGTAATGCACTGATAACCACCAAAAACTGGTGGTGATGAAAAAGTCACATGATGAACCAAAGCTCATCTCAAACAGCTTTTCTAGAGCTGAGGAGGGCAATACTTATACAGTATATAGAAGGTGCACAGTGTCATTCACACAAACACTAAACCCCATCATGGTGACACACATGACACTGAAATAATGCAATAAACATTAATTTAATAACATTAGATGTAAGATTAAACCCTAATGTACACAACTGATAAGAAAAAAAACTAAGAA